AGATAGCTGACTCAGTGTTGGAAAGTCTGAGTAGGTTTTATGAAATCAAGAAAGTGACATGGAAGTTCAGTGTTTTTCTTCTCTTGTATGAAGAAAGCAGTGACTGTTTGTGTGGGGAGTACAAAGAAAGCAGGGGGTTTTGTGAGCAGCTCTAGCTCTTTTCAGTAGATATTCGTTAATGCTCCCAATAAAGGTGTAGTTTGAACATTGGTAAAAAATTCAAAAAATTAATTCAATTAAAAAAATTTAAAAATTAAAAAAAAAATTACCCATCTCAATACCTGGAGTGCAAAAAAAACCCCTCAAAAACCAAAAATCACCCCCAAAAATGCCACAAAAAACCTGATACATACTATATAAGCACTGCAGTGTATTGTCTATGTGTGCAGAATATTTGATACATACAGAGTAGAAGAAAAAAGCATTTGCTGAAATTTGCCAGCGCAATCCTCAGTGCTCTGTATTTATGCCATGTCACACACCAAGCACGAATCCCCCAGCACTTTGACACCATTGTGTGACAGATTTTAACATAAAAAAGCGAAAGTTTAGGTCTGACATTTTCCTATATGCACTGACATGAGACAAACCTATCTATAATCTAGAATAGCAGTTTAATTTGATAAATGGTGGCTCAAATCTGTATGCAGGTAATGCAGACTGTCTTTTTCGAGCTGGATCTGGAGAGGAACTTGTGCCAGGCACTTCAGAGTGGTATTAAGTTTGGCTCTGATGTGAAAAGAATTGGCTGCTTTTCCTCCTGATACTTTGCAAGTCATGATGGGTGGGAGGCAGGGAAGTAGGAATACAAGGATTTAAAAAGAGTAAATAATATTATGCAAAGTAGTTTAGGATCAAAGCTTTTTTTTTTTTGTCTGACCATTGAAAAGCTTCCATAATCCATGAGTAACATGGCTTGCTTTCAAAAATGACTTCAAATCTTTAGTCAAATTTTACATTTTATAGACTGTAGGTGCATATTTTGAGAGACAATTGCTGCTGTGAGTTTGATTACAAACTCCTAAGACTATAGATGTATTCCACAATGTCTGAATGTATGTTAAGAGTGCCAAATTATTAGATTGGAATGGCATGGGATAGAAGCACAATCTGATGTTATTAGTGAAATTATAAATATTTGGAGTTTTTGCTAAATTTAATTGCTAAACAAGTTTTTATTTCATTATAAATATATGTAAATATATAAAAACATATGATGTGCTATAATAAATTTCACAAAGAATTGTATCTTAAAGGAGGTCAATTGAATTCCTTTATGTGGTGTCTCTACGAAAGACAACTGTTGGATAACTAGAGTAAAAAAATTGGCACACTTTAGATGAATCTTCTATTTTGAAAACCTAGTTAGTCAATATAGGACCTGAATCTTTATCTGTGGACTTTATTATTTAGGTTTAGATTATTCAACAGTAATCAAGAGATAAAGATTGTTAATGTATTAAGGATTTGGAGGGGTGAGGAGGGAAGAAATTTTACAATATTTTTTTAAGTCTAAAAACACAGACCTGTTTTGCGTCAAGTATTGAATTTCATTAAAACGCTAATAAGTAACTTGGTATATTTCAATTTCTGTGTAAAACAAAAAAAGTGCCCGTAGAAAAAAGGAAAATAATGTACTTGAATTGAGGATTTCGACAGCAAATTAATTCATAAAAAGATGAAGACCTGTAGTTTTAAACTAGACGTGGAAATCACTGTATATTCTTACAGTTGTCAATTACTTTTTAAAAACACTTGCATTGAATTAAAAAAAAAAAATGCTTTGTGAATATAACATTAATTCCCAGATATAGTACACTGCTTCTTGGCTGTTTAAAGAACAGACAAGAAACATGAATTCAAACAAAACAAATGTTACCTGCTAGAAGGATTTACAAAACAAGCATTTATTATAACCTCGAGAGAAAAATCATTCTTTATCAGTGGTCTGTATTTAAATGTCCAGCTAGCTGTTTTCATTGTGTATTTCTCCTTAATGGATTAAAGTATGCTATGCTAAACAGTGGAAATAGCTATCCTGACAAAGCTTTTTTTACATCAAGGCTTCAAAATTTCAACAAAGTTTGAATGTTATTTAGATATAACAATTATTTTACAAAGACTACTTTTAACATGAGCAGGCCACCCACAGTGTTGACTAGAGAAAATGGCATGCAAGCCACCCAGAGAGACTGATGTAATTTTTTTTCATCTTTGCTTAAAGTATAGTCACTAGACCAGATAATGTAGAAACTTCTACACGCAACGATCAAAAAGGCTAAAACAGCTCCGTTTTTTTTTTTTTTT